TGGATGCTGCAATGATCTCCTGGGTCACTGACTATCTCACAGGCAGACCACAGTTTGTGAGGCTGGGGAACTGTGTGTCACAGGAGGTGGTTAGCAACACAGGTGCTCCCCAAGGAATTGTTCTGTCTCCCTTTCTTTTCACCCTTTATACATCTGACTTCCAGTACAACACAAAGCATTGTTACCTGCAAAAGTTCTCTGATGATTCTGCTGTGGTTGGGTGTGTTAGGGATGGGCAGGAGATGGAGTATAGGGCACTCATTAACAGCTTTTTGGAGTGGTGTGGAACTAATCACCTACAGCTAAATGTTACAAAAACAAAATAATTGGTAATTGACTTCAGGAGAAAAAGACACAACTTACCCCTGTCTGTATAACTGGCTGTAATGTGGAGGTTGTGGACTCCTACAAATACCTGGGGGTCTACATTGACAATAAGCTTAACTGGACTAAAAACATGGAGGCAATATACAGGAAGGGACCAAGTCAACTGTATTTTCTGCGGAGACTTAAGTCCTTCAATGTATGTAGTAAAATGCTTAATATGTTTTATCAGTCTGTGGTTGCCAGTTCTCAGTTTTACGCTGTGGTGTGTTGGGGCATTGGTATGAAAGGGGGTGATGCTAAACGGCTGAATAAACTCATCAAAAAAGCAAGTTCTGTCATTGAACAGGATCTGGTCCCTCTGGAGGTGGTTGCTGAGAAGAGAATGATGCACAAATTGCTAGTCATTAAGGATAACACCACTCACCCTCTAAATGACATGCTTGTTGCATTAAGGAGTAATTTTAGTTGGAGACTGATCTTGCCTCGGTGCAATAGTGAACGGTATAGAAGGTATTTTGTACCTACTGCAGTTAGACTGTATAACACATCTCTCGGATGACGTGGCACCTTTGAACTTCTAGTGAGCTAGATAGTTAAATTAATTTTATACTTTACCTGTATACCTTATTTTATCCTAAAATCTGAATGGAAATGACCTGTTTTACCTGTATTTATTATTTATTTTTATCTATTGTATTTATTTTGTGTTGTATGGTTTATGTTTTGGCTGCTCATGCAAACCAATTTCCCTGCGGGGATTAATAAAGTTTATCCTATCCTAAACCAAGCTAGTCGATTTGGTCAGTCAAACTTTTAAATACATTTTAGCATTTCTATAGTAAATTTAGATTCATAATCTGCTTGTGGTTGCCATGGCAACCAGATAGATTGCACGCAAATTACTTGTAAAGGCTGCACTCTCTACTGTTTTTGTTTAGGCCCAGATTCCTCTGCAGTTGTTGTATGTTGTAAAAAATGCTAATGCAACAGGCAAGCAGTATGTACCATAGGCCAGGGTTCCTCAAATCTTGCCCTGGAGGGCCAATGCGCTGCAGAGTTTAGCTCCAACCCTGATCAAACTCACCTACCTGTGATTTTCTAATGATCCTGAAGACATTGATTAGCATGCTCAGGTGTGTTTGATTAGGGTTAGAGCTAAACTCTGCAGGAAAGTGGATCTCGTGGGCCAGATTTGAGGATCCCTGCCATAGGCTATTATCCGTCAAAATGCAGATTCGTTATGTGACAACTTCTCATGCAAATGAGATTGGGGAAGCCATTAGTAAGTTTGATTTTATTTATTAATTTATTTACAAAGGCATCGAAACTATGCCCATGGTTAACCGTGTTTTTTTTCTTCTTCTTTTTTTCTTTCATTAATAGAAAGTTCTAAAGTTGGAATTTATTAAAAATGTAGAATTATAAATGTCTTTACTGTCAGTTTTGATCAATTTAATTCGCTCTTGCTAAATAAAGTATATATATATATATATATATATATATATATATATATGAAGAGTTCAGATGCAAAAGCCTCTAAGTGAGACCATCTGAAATTTTCTTCTAAAATTAGCATTTTTATCAGACTCCTATGTTTAGGTTCAATAATTTTATTTAAATGGCAATGTATAGGTCCTTTTCTATGCCATTTAAAGTTAAATAATTTAACATAAATATAGGAGCTTGATAAAAATGCTAAATTTAGATGAAAATTTCAGACAGCACTTAGAGACTTTCGCATCTGAACTGATCTTTTAGCTTTTAGCTTTTCATCTTACTTTAGCAAAGGAAAACCAGTCTCCTCTTGGCTTATATCGAAATTCTCCTACATTTTTCTTTGCAAATCTTCGGTTTGTACTTCTAATTCGTGACCGACGTTTTGTTTTGTTGTCTCTCCGCGTTCGCCACTGATCACGCAACGCCGACGTGCTACGTCATCCGCCGGAACGGCTTCCGAGTATGACAGTTGGCGGAAGTGATATAAAAGTTTATTACGTTTGAAATATGGATATTTTTCTTACAAAAACACATGGATTCGCTACAGGAGGCCTTTATTCACCCCCCGGAGCCGTGTGAGGGACATTTTATTATGAATGCGCATGCTTTATTTGACGACTTGTGGACTGTTCAACTGCAACACCCGCTGACTGCAATGATAGAGCTTCACTGCAAAAATTGCTTTTCTAGCTTAGATCTTTTGTCTTGTTTTCAGAAAAAACAAGTCGAATTCAAGAGAGTTTTTGCTTGAAACAAGCAAAATAATCTGCCAATGGGGTAAGAAACAAGATTATTTTTCTTACCCCATTGGCAGATTATTTTGCTTGTTTCAAGCAAAAGCTCACTTAATTTTTACTTGTCTAGAAAATCCCTCTTGATTTAAGAATTTTTAGATATTTTGTCAGGAAACAAGACAAAAGATCTAAGCTAGAAAAGCATTTTTTTGCAGTGTTGGAATTGCCAGGACAATTTTTTTATATAACTCCGACTGGATTCGTCTGAAAGAAGAAAGTCATATACACCTAGGATGCTTCGAGGGTGAGTAAAACACAAGCCAATTTTAATTTTTGGGTGAATTAACCCTTTAACCATGTGTAACTGGGTAAGGAATAGCCCAGGTATGATAGGCTGATGACATGCCAGCCTATGAACCAATCAGTGCTTCTACTCCTTTGTGATTTGTTAATATGGTTTAAATTCTATGAACCTATCAGTGTTGGCATTGAGAATACAAAAAGGGAAGGTTTTGATTGCTCAGGATGCATCATTCTTGGTACTGGACCCTGAACAGAAGTGGAAGTACGTCATTATGAACAAGGGATAGGGGTTGGTGCATCTTACTGTTGTTGTGTTTTAGCAGTTAGGTCTTTTTCAGGTTAGTCTCCAGTGTCAAAAAGGATTTCGTCGTTTATAAGGAGAGACTTTATTTGTTTGTCTTTTTTTGGTCATCAGCATGCTAGTGGCCGTGGTCATGCGTGGTGAGCAACCATGCATATTGCTAGATGGTAAATCTCTCTCTGTAGGTATGATGGGAGTTTATCATGTGTTTTAACGAGTGTATCATTGTAGATAATTTTCTTGTTTTGTTCAGCAGGTGTAATTGCACATCCAGGGGTTTCCAGTAACTTGTTTGGAGATGAATGTACATCAGCGATGTGACTGCACTGCTGCTTTGGTTTTAGTGTTTGTTGGGTGACTGTTTTAACTTCGTCTGTCTTGGTCTTATTTTGGTTTATTTTGTTTGTATGGGTTTTTTCTTTTTCTTATTCATTCATGAGCATCCATTCATTAATATTTGAGTTAGCTGGGAGGCAAGTAAGATATATATATATTTGGCCTTTGTCTGCCATTTTGTTACTCCCGTTGGTGCATATGACTGCTCATTTGTTTTATATTAGTTTTTTCTTTTTGTTTTTCATTGATTGTACAAGTAGTTGTTGAATCTCTGTGTGGACTCCTTTTAGAGTAGATTGTTCTGTTGTGGTATGAAAGTGAGAATTTTGGATGTGTTTATTGTTTGTATGAGTTAACTGTTTTGTCATTTAGGAGTAAACTTTTTTTTTAAAGCAGGGGTTGCAGTCTTTTAGCGTGTCGATGGAGTGCAGTGCTTAACCAATTGTATTGCTCTCACAACTGTGTGCTCTGTGTATGGTGTGAGGTGAAAATCCAAAAGGTCCCCGCTGGCCATTTCTCTCCTACTGCTTATTTCGGTAACTGGTGTATTTGGTTTTTTTTTTTGGTTTTTTTTTAAGTCTTGACTTTAAGTAAAGACTTAAGTGATCTTGTGTACAAATGTTAAATGTAATGTCTCATTTGTGTATATAAATAAACCGCTACATTGTTATACCTTGTCCATGTCTCCATGTTCACCCTGCCTTTGGCAACGAACCTGTGTGCCCTTGCATAGGGCTTTTGTGTCCAGGTATATTCTGGGTGGCATAGTCTATTTTGTGTACGTTGTGATTGGTAACTTCCCCTACCTGACCACTTTGCCACACATGGTATTTTTTTTTTTTTTTTTTCGTATTGATTACCATTTGTATAACCAGTTTTACTAGAAATACCATGGTTAAAATATGGTTAGTGTAGCAAAACCTTGGTAAATTTGTGGTTACCATGGTTTAACTTTAGTAACCATGGATTTTTGGTTTTGTGGTAAAACCATGGTTGATTTTCATAAGGGTTGACATTTTGGCTTCATAGGTTCTCTAAAAAAATTTATTTCCTCATTTCAGTGAAAAAATGTTTTTGTTGATTTCAGTTAATTTCACATGTTTTCGTGTGCTTTTGCAGTCTCTGCTATATTGCACGCGCACACACAGACTATTTTGTGGATGAGAAACACTGATTAGATTTCTTTTTTTTTTTTTTTTTTTTTCGTTTATTCCTCTCATTGGTGGTTGAGTAAATGTTGTGTGTGGTTTTGTTTTTTTTATTGAAATTCTCTGAATTATACTAACTAAAGCCTGGTTTCTAATTTCTGTGTTTTGGGGCCTTTTTTGAACTACATCTCATATGTATTGCAAATTAAAATCTCAGAGCTTTTGAGGTTTTTTTTGTTTTTTTTTTACCTAATGATGTAAAGGTCTTTGCATTCAGTGCTGTGAACTGCAAACAAAACAAGATACTAAATCCAGATTAAAAATATTGAGTCTCACGGAAATATGGCCATCCAATTTTCATTAAGAGTGCTCATTATCTAACCAGCTGTGTTTGCTCCTAGACTATCCTTCTGAAAGACAACAGAAGAATTATTTACTTGAATTTTGATTGCAGTATTTATTACAAAATACTTTTGTCGTTGTGGAATACATGATCACCACCCAGTCGCCAGAGTTATTCTACGCAATTAACCGGGTTTGAAACGTAATTTACTCTCTTTGTCCCTTAGTGGCAATAAAACCTTAATTTTATGCATCATCATTTGACCTGCTTTGATTTACAGCCCTGATCGAAATGGGCCATCCATAAAGCTCAAGCCAGGGAACATCAGATGTGTGATTCGATCGTCTCTTCTAAAAATGGTATCAGTGACATCAAAGAGACAGAGTTTTTGTTCATTTATAGTCAAATCAATCAAGCCTTTACCTTGAAGTGTTCTTATGTCAGTATGGCATATCAAGATTGCACTTTGTGGAATAATGGTGGTTATAGTACATAAGATAGAGTGTTATAAGATTAAAAAGGACATAAAATAATTTTAAACTTCAATCTATGTGTTATTTTTATTTGTTTGTTTGTTAAAGGAATAGTTCACCCAGAAATGAAAATTTGCAGAAAATATACTCCACCAGTGGATCCTCTGCAGTGAATGGGTGCTGTCAGACTGAGAGTTCAAAGAGCTGAAAAAAACATTACAATAATCCACATGACACCAGTCCATCAAATGTCTTGTGAAGTCCTCTATCAATAATATTGCTTTCTCCAGTGAAAAAGTCATCTCGTCTAAATCAGGTGAGAAGTATGCACAGATCAGGCACGATTTACAAGCAAAAACAGTTCTAAACAAATACGTCTATTGATTTTGATGTGAGAGGACAACAGGGGATGAACTTTTTCACTGTAGGAAACATTATTATGGGTTATGGACTTGTATTTTGGCCAGAAGTGACATTGCATCACAAGACATTGATGGACTCTCATTCTGCCGGCACCCATTCACTGCAGAGGATCCATTAGTGAACAAGTGATGTAATGCTACATTTCTCCAAATCTGTTCTGATGAGGAAATCTGTATCTTGAATGGCTTGAGGGTCAGTAAATTGTCAGCAAATTTAAACTTTTTAATGAATTATACATTTAATGTATGTATGTGCATGATTTTTTTTCATATGTATGTTTTGTGTACAGGTAAAGGCTATATTTCAAGGTCAAATGATTGAAAATATCCCCACCAAAAATGACTTGAGAACTTTATAGTCATCACTATTTGAAAGGCTCATAAAGCTAAATATCTCAAATAAAATCTACTGAGGTTTGTGTGAGGATTAGGTTTAGAGGAAAAGATTTAGGAGTTTAGCAAAGATTATCATCACTATATAAAAATATTGCTTCTATGAGATGTCCTCACTAATGTAGTCAAATCTGTGTGTGCGTATGCATGTGACCTATTCATTGGTTTGTGCATCTTTTTGTACTTGAGAGCCCTAGAGTTAAATACATCTAAAAAATAACATAATTTGAACCTGAACGAACCAGGCCCACTGCTGTGATTATGCTATAGAGGAATTTTTAATTAGGATCTTATTAAGAGCTTGACAACAAACATGATTCAATTTGGAATCTGCATGTGGATGGTAATTATAGCTCACTTCTGCATAAACTTGATTGAGTCAAGGACTTTTCTGAAGAGACCTTGAAATATCCTTTTGCTTGCAAAAACTTACCTGTCCTTAGATGTACATCCAAGAACTACAAAGAGGTTCTGCAACCTTTATGCAAGATTGTTTTAAAGCAGCTTCAAATTAATAAAACAGGAAAATAATTTGAATGTTGTAAAGTGCATCAATTATGAAAACCATCTATAAAGCAGCTCTACAGAAGACAATAGTGTCATTATTCATCTTAATTTAGCTCAATGTTTAATCAATTCAGTTCAATAGCTCTGTCATTGTCGCAGTGTTCATCAGTTATGATACAATTTCAATTCAGCTATAAGCAATCTGCAGAAGGCAATAGTGTCATTTTTCAGCTCAATTCAGTTCAAATTTTGTTCTCTTCGAATAGTGTTTGTGCAGTTAAATCATGAATTTTACTGAATAGGGCTGGGCAATATGGCCAAAAAATGATCACGATAAATCAAAAAAGAAAGAAAAAGTTATTTCTTTGTTTCTGCATGTTCTAATGAGTGATATTGTTTCAAATCATGAAACAGGTTTGTGTTGCCTGACTTTGATAATGTGTATCTTCAACACAGTTTGCAGTGCAGGCTGCAATATTTATATTATTACATTTTCTTATCTCTTAGAAATACAAGTTTGACAGTAGCTTGAGTTAGGATACAACATGTAAATTGGTTTATCAAAAACAGTAACATCTGTAAAAGTTGTAACAACCTAATTTTTATATGGTGAAATGTAATTAGCTATTATTATGACTATTTGAGTTTTATTAACCATTGGTCTTCCATAGTTGCACACATTTAGATCATGATAGATAACGTCTCTAGGTTACGTATGTAACCATGGTTACATAACCTAAAGACGTTCCCCTTCAGGAACTCGAGCTGCATCGAGAATCGCTTTGGGAATGAGAATACCCACTGCACCATACTACCAAGTCCCTGCCTGTGTGTGAATCTCATGAGCACATCACGAAGAGAGAACTTGGGAACCTGGGGTAGATGGCAGGTCTAGGTTATAAAAGCGGACAAAAGTGATCGGAGAGGACCAGCCCGCCGCAGCACAAATGTCCTGCAAGGCCACACCCAAATTGAAAGCTTTGGAGGCCGCCATACTCCTGGTCGAGTGTGCTCTGACCCCCATAGGAGACGAGAGGTCAGAGGACTCGTAGGCTAGTGAGATGGCCTCAACCACCCACCTACTCATAGTCTGCTTGGTCGCCAGAGATCCTTTCTCTGCCTCAGCCTCAGGGTGCCACGAAGGAAACGAGTGATAAGTGGGTGTTTTCCCAATGATTGACCACCCAGAAGGGCGTGGTAAACAGCTAAGGCCGCCACGTATACCTTCAGAGTGGAGGGAGATAACCCTGCGGAGAATCGCTCCTGCAGAAACTCCAGACCTGTACCAATTGGGCAGTTGACTGGGTCTTGCAGTCGCTGTCCGCACCATGAAGCGAAAAGTTTTCACTTCAAGGCGTCGAGGAGGGACATCAAGTCCGAGAACCATACTCGGGCCGGCCAGAACGGGGCTACTAACAACAGACGGACCCCATCCCGGGCGTACTCTCTCCAGAACTCCCGGGAGCAGAACGATTGGGGGAAAAGCGTACAGACGAAGCCTCGGCCACGTCTGCACCATGGCATCCAGCCCCAGTGGAGCTGGATGCGTGAGGGAGAGCCAGAGTGGACAGTGTGTCGTTTCCTGCGACGCAAATAGATCCACTTCTGCCTGGCCACATTCCCTCCAGAGGAGCTCCACCACCTCGGGTGGAGCCTCCATCCCCCGGGCCTCAGCCCCTCTCTCGACAGGATATCTGCCCCCTGATTGAGATACCCAGGGATGTAAACTGCTCTTAGTGAGAGGAGCTTTAATCTAGTTTAAATCACTGAGTCATTTGTGTTCTTTGCTGAATTCAAGCACTTCACACTGGATCTCACAGCGCTGTTTAGTGCTTGCATGATCGAGACTTATCAGTAAGTAAATGCATCTGCTCTAGTGAGCTCACACTGCGCTGCTGTTTGAACTTAGCGCCGATGTAGCGTGGTTAAACTGCGTAGCGCTGTTTCGTTCATAAACATTATATTGAACTATTAACAAACTTGTTATTGTTTTATCGAGGAAAATTATATTACGATAATTATTGTTATCGTTTTGTCACCCAGCCCTATTACTGAATATTAATTGTCTTTTAACCCTTCCATAAAATTTGTAAAGAATATCTTTGTAATAAGGATTTTATCCATCCATTTCTCTTTTATAAACAAAATCATTGTAAATAAAAATGTAAGGCAAACATCTCTACTGGTTCCTTTGTCGTTCTCTTTAAGAGTGTCAGTGAGATTGAAGACGTGCATTTTGCACATCTGACGCGCTGTAACCCCTGCCTGGTGATTTACTGAAATATATGGCTAATGTTCATTTATAGGGCAATCCAAAGGTTGTGTTCATAAATCTGCCTCCTGATTAGCTAATCATAATTTTCAGTTAA